TTTATGATATTTGTATGATCATGCTATGATATCTGATACATTATTTGTGTGTGCTTTTTACATGTACAATTTTCACTGGGAGCAGCATCCTTGATTTGTCATTTCATTTTTTAGAGTGTTAGCTTCTAACTTCAGCTTGTTCAATTAAGCTTTGACAATAAATCTGGAAGCTGATTGGTTTCTATGCAGAGCTGCACCAGATTTTGCACCCTCCAGTTTTAATAAATTTCACCCATAACATTTGCCTTTTTCTATACCCTAAATACTGTATGACTATATATTTTTACAGGATAAGTTCACCTTTGAATAATTATGTTACATGTTCCACCCATTTTTAGGGTGGAGCATGTAACAATGTTCCCACATTGTAACAATGTGCCCCCCCCTCCCTCCCATGACAGAAGTATGGGGAGAATTTGCCTGCACGATCAGCTTTACCCAGCTTCAATTCTGGCCACGGAGGGAAGGTCCCACACCGGGATGTCATCGGATTCTCAGCTCACATGGCACGCTCATTCAGCATCATCCAAAACATGGCTGCAGTCTCCGCCTCCTGTTTTCTCAACTCTCTCTGTGAAAAAACTCCACCTCTTATGAATATACAGATATCTATGCAGTCTGAGCCTGTGTTAGAAAAACTGTGACATCTTGTGGCTAAACCGCAGAATGTCAGTCAAAACATCAATTTGCTCCCACACAATCATTTACTGCATACAGTGTTCAAACAATGAGAGCTGTTTCCCCATCTCACACTTGTGCACCTTTTTCTTCCACACTTTTTCCTTCCACATAACTTTCTATTAATGTGCTTTGATACAGCACTTTGGAAACATCCAACTTCTTTTGCAATTACCTTTTGAGGCTTTCCCTCCTTATGGAGGGTGTCAAGGATAGTTTTCTGCACAACTGTCAAGTCAGCAGTCTTTCCCATGATTGTGATTTCTACTGAACCAGACTGAGAGACCATTTAAAGGCTCAGGAACCCTTTGCAGGTGTTATGGCTTAATTAGCTGATTAGAGTGGAACACTTTGAGCCTAGAATATTGCACTTTATTCTAATTTTCTGAGATTGTGGATTTTGGGGGTTTTCATGAGCTGTAAGCCATAATCATCACAATTATGGCAAATCACGGCTTGAACTATCTTGCTTTGCATGTAATGAGTCTATCTCGTATATTAGTTTCACCTTTTAAGTTGCATTACTGAAATAAATGAACTTTTCCACAATATTCTAATTTTTCGAGTTTCACCTGTATGTTGTCCATGAGAAGTAAAAAACATGATGATTATCTAAGTATGTGTTAGGAAGGGCATACCAGCAGGCAAGATGGCTCCTCTAGGCTGATTTCTGTGTCCACTTAGAAAAGGCACACATGCTCACGCACATGCTCACATTTAATCACATGTGCAATCGTATGCTCGTACCTGCAGACCTGTCGCTAATGTTGGCAACAAATGGGCTATTTAAACTGAGCCAGTGCTCAGCTTCAGTGCTGTCTCATCTACAGTGTTTCTCATTGATATGTAACTGATTACTTGCATCTGATACCAGTTACCAACCTTAGCTCATCCTGAATATCTGCCTGCATTGACTTGTGCTTGCTTCCTCACCTCTGCTTCTGCCTGCTTCTGTTGCCTCTGTGCTGCTGATCTGATACCTACTTTGGCCTACATCCTGAACATCTTGATGTACTTGTACCTGATCCCATTACCTTCTCCGACCCAGCATGCTTGATGCCGCTATTCCGCTACAACTCCAAGCACCTACCTGCTACCAGCCAGCATCTGCTGGTCACCTGCTTACAGCCAGTTATCGCCTGCTCACCATCTGGCTGCTATCAGCCAGTACCTGATCATCACCTGTCTACTGTCAACTAGTACCTGCATGTTCCAGCCTGCTACTTACCTGCCGTTACCCAGCCAGTCCATTTCGCTTTGGTCCACAGTCAGTCCCCTCTGCTCCAGCTTGTACACCCTGCTCTGCTCTGCTGCTAGCAAGATTAACAGGCACTCATGCCACTCTGTGCTCTTGTGCCACCTGTCCACTATTAGGGGCCCTGAGCCAGAGGTGTAAGAGAGACCTTCCTCATCATGGCAACCTCCCCCACCAGGTATGTGATGGTATGTAAATAATTTCAAGTATGGAGGAAAAGACACACTAGAAATTAGCCACAAAGCTGAATAAATATATCTACATCTTCTGATGCATACAGAGTTTGCCTTTCTTTTTTTAAAGTGCAATGCTGCCTATAAAGGAAACCTATAGTAAAACAAAATATAGGCGTACCTCGGTTTACGCATTTAATTTGTTCCACGGGAAAAATTTGGAAACCAAAAATGTGGTTTCCCATAGGAATGCATTGAAAACCAAGTAATCCGTTCCAGAGGTAAGAAAAAAGTCTTTTATCTGTTCAAAACTAAAAAGTGCACTTTAAAGGCATAAATACTGCACAGGGACATGATTAAAAATTAATTTGTAAATACATTGAAAACCAATTAATCCATTTGTATTGCGAAAATAGTTCATAAATGCATTGAAAAACAATTAATCTGTTCCGGAGATCAGAAAAAAGTAAAAAAAAAGTATTTTATCTGTTCAAAACTCTTTATAAAGTGCACTTAAAAGGCACTTAAAAGGCACTGTACAGGGACATGATTAAAAAAAAATTGTAAATGCACTGAAAACCAATTCTGTTCGTATTGTGAAGAAAATTTGTAACCGAGCCATTATTTTGAATGGATTTTCATTCGTAAACCGAAAATTACATTAACCGAGGCATTCGTAAACCAAGGTATGCCTGTATGGACACTGTCATTGCTGGCCTCCTTATTTGAAAATGCAAGTTGCCTGACTTTCTAATCTACACACTTATTTTGAGTCCTTATAAAAGCCAGAAACAGACAGGAAACTAGAAGAAGGAAGCTAGCAATGGCAGAACTAGTATTCTCTACAGGTTTCCTATAACTTTGGCAAATCAGGGCAAAGAGATAGTCACTTACTAGCCCTGCTCCAGCCACCCACTTATACTCATTCGGGTTGATTTACTAAGGCAAATAGACTGTGCACCATAGAAGGTGCAGTTGCACTCTGCAAGTGCAATTGCTCCACAGCTTTGCAAATGAGATAAAGATTCACTTTGCAAGGAATACCCAATCACGTGCAAGGAAAATTTTAAAAAAGCACTTTTGCTTGCACATGATTGGATGATGGAAGTCAGCAGAGCTTTTGTTCATTTATTAGGCTCTTGCAGAGTACAACTGCACTTTGCAAAGTGCACAATCTTTTTGCTGTAGTAAATCAACCCCATTGTGTCCCTGCTGCTCTGTAGCAGCCATTGCAACTACCTGACAAATCTGAATATGGGGGAGCGTTTCGCATCTTCCATGATGCTGTTCTCGGACCTGAGCAGCCAGTTGTCAGGCTGCTGGGTAAATGAGTGGTATCATTGATCCTGTGTAAGCTCAGACACCATCTGACATGAAGCCTACAAAGTGGAGCACATGTGTTGTTCCAGTAAAGCAACTGCGGGTTGGGGGGGCCTAGTGAAAGACTTGGCTACTCTTTTACAAGAGGGTCTTTTTCTTTGCTCTGAGTGAGTCTCTTTAACATATACTTTACAGATAATTACCATTGCTGGAAAGCCATAAGATGGTTTGGATCAGTCATTAAAATGAAACTGCACTGCATCTGAGCACCACTAACCAAAAATGCTATTTAATTTATTTTTAATATTCAAAGCAAACTCACCCATCCATCTGTGTCTCCATGCTTTATTTTGCTGAGAAACCATTTAGAAAAACACCCCCTGGCATTTCTGGCATTGGCCATATTGAGTAAGAGCAGATGATTAGTGTATCATTTACTTCCTGGAATCCATCTACCTTTAGCTCAGGCATAGCCTGAGCTGAAAAACCTTCCTCTTCTCCTAAAGACTGCTGGGATGTATGACATCATTTGCCTATGCATGAAAACCAGGAAGTAACTGAAGAAATGTAAAAATAAAAGTTTAAAAAAAGTTAATATGATATACTTTCCTATCTATTTACTAATGCTAGCAGCATAAGAATTAAAAATAGTCCATGTTGATTGAGAGAGTGAAGCTCCACTTTAAAGTATATGTAAACCCTCACCTTGAAAACAACCTATTCAATGTATTCAGTTTGTTTCCCTGTTTTAAAAGTAATCACATACCCTCTAAGCTCCTTATGCAGCTGAGAACAGAGAGCTGAGTAAGGAGAAACATCATTACACTGAACTTCCCAGAAAATGGCTGTGCAGGGGAGAGGGGGGGGGGTGTTAGGACAAGTCTGATCATCGGAGGAGAGCACAGTGAGTTCCCAGCACAGCAAGAGAACTGACCACACTGTGTTCTGCCTAGTGTAGTCATTTTTTTAATAGGAAAGCAGAGCTACAGGCAGGAACACCAGGGATTTCACACAAAGGAAGCAATATAAAGAGAACAGGATACTTTTTCATACAAGTACATGGTACAACAGGCACATATCAGGAATATGAAATGTTGGGTCTACATACTCTTTAATTGGTTAAAAAGAAATTCAAAAAAAGTGTGCTGCCAAATAAGGCCTGGTAGAATTTATGTAAGTGGTCTCTATCCCAGTACATCTCCCTGTTAATAGCAACCAAACATAGAAGAATGGATTTACTAGAAGAGTAGAGACTTTTCACTTAGTAAAGGTAGTGTTAGTTAACATAACAAAGGTGACGCTGTGGCCATTTCAATTATCAAATCACATGCAGGGGCGGACTGACAACTCACGGGACCCCGGGCAATAGGGGATCATGGGGCATGCAAAATTCCAGCATTTTACATTTCCTTGCACATGATAGGTTATTTAACCACCTCCCGCCCGCCATATAGTAATATGACGGACGCAAGGTGGTTCTCTCGTTCTGGGAGGACGTCATATGACGTCCTCCCATTCTCATTGCGTATGCGCGGCTCATTGAGCACGCAGCGCGGCGATCAGCGGTGCGCTGTGTCCCTTGGACACAGCGGATCACCGATCACGGAAATAGCCGAAGATGTCGGCTCGGTCATGTGATCAGCTGTGTCCAATCACAGCTGATCACATGTAAACAGGGAAATGCCGGTTATAGGCATTTCTCTCCTCTCGAGCTGTCACACTGACAGCTCGAGAGGAGGAGAGCCGATAATCGGCTTTCCGCGGAGGGGACATATACACTAATCATCAGGGCACTGATGATCAGTGTGCCCTGATGATCAGTGTAGCCCCAGCAGTGCCACCTGTCAGTGTCCATCAGTGCCTTGTGTCAGTGCTCATCAGTGCCTCGTGCCAGTGACCATTAATGCCACATATCAGTGCCTACCAGTGCACATCAATGCCACAGTGCCCATCTGAGCTGCCTTTCAGTGTCACCCATCAGTGCCAGTCAGTGCCACCTATCAATGCCAATCAGTGCCACCTATCAGTGCTGCCTATCAGTGCCAGTCAGTGCCACCTATCAGTGCCAGTCAGTACCCCCACTACCGCCTATCAGTGCCAGTCAGTGCTGTCTATCAGTGCCGCCTACCAGTGCCATGTATCAGTGCTGCCTTTCAGTGCCCATCAGTGTTGCCTGTCAATGCCCATCAATGCCACCTACCAGTGCCTCCTCATCAGTGCCCATCAGTGCCACCTATCAGTGTCCATCTGTGCAGCCTATCAGTGCCCATCACTGCAGTCTCATTAGCGCATATCAGTGAAGGAGAAAAATCACTTATTTACAAAATTTTATAACAAAAACTAAGAAAAAAATGTTTTTTTTTTTCAAAATTTTCAGTGGTTTTTGGTTTGTTTAAAAAAAAATAAAAACCCAGAGGTGATTAAATACCACCAAAATAAAGCTCTGTCTGTCACAAAAAAAATTATAAAAAATTTCATATGGGTACAATGTTGTATGACCGCGCAATTCTCGTTCAAAGTGTGACAGCGCTGAAAGCTGGAAATTGGCCTGGTAGGCTAGCGGTTAAAATGAATGCAGCTTTAAAACTGTAAACAAACGTGTCTGGTCTCCCTTATGCATACTTTGGTTTCTCCTGCCAGCCCCTACATCACTACTTTGCCCTGTAGCAAGGTAAGGGCCTGCTACAGGCTCTAAACATGTTTCATGTTACACTCTACATATGTGAAACATGGACAGAAAAAAGAACTAGCTTTGAAATATCTTCCTTGCAGAGAAAACATTTCTTACAATTTTTTTTAGTTGTTCTAAGCTGAGTGAACAATGACTTTGCTAAGCAAATCAACTTCTGTTTTCAATAAATTAACCACATATTATGTTTTTATTTTAGCAGAGTGACACATTTCTATAAAGAAAATGTACCCTGTTACGATAAAACATTATTTCTTAAGTAGGGTGTGTGGCACCCTGGAGTGCCATCTGGGTTCCACTGGGGTGCCGTGAACACAGGGCCAGGCTTTCCCTGGATCACTGTCATGAGTTGTCATGATTTGGATAGGTTGGCCGCCAGCACCATACCAACCAATGCTCTAGAGTTAGGCTGCTTTCACAATGGTTCGCCTCAAAAACACTTGAAAAATGACTAGCATTTTTGGAGTTTTTTTTAAGTGTTTTTTCAAGCGTTTTTCAAGCGAAACATCCTGGACATGTGACTCACTTTTGTAGCTCAAATTGGCAGATTTGCACATTCGAATTCACTAAAAAAAATGCTACTAAAATACTGCATAAGTTGTTTTATCAAGTGAAAACACACGTTAATGTTTCAGCTGTCAGCAGGGTTCCCCGCTGAAAGCTGAATGTAAAAAAAACAAATACAAAACTGGCATGGGGTCCCCCCTCCATCCATACCAAGCCCTTTGGGTCTAATATGGATTTTGAGGGGAACCCCCACGCAAAAAAAAAAAATGGTGCAGGGTCCCCCCCAAAATCCATACCAGACCCTTATCCGAGCATGCAACCTGGCAGGTCAGAAAAGGGGGGGAAAGCGAGCGCCCTCCCCCCCTCCTGAACCATAACAGGCTACATGCCTTTAACATAGGGGGGTGCTCCCCCCCAAAGCACCTTGTCCCCATGTCGATGTCTCCCAGCCGTCTGACTGCTCTGCTGGCTTGACAATTCTTAAATATGTAAAGGGTGGGGCCATCACATATGTGAGCCCACCCCCATGTAACATCATTGATCCAGCATGCCCCGGTTGATGATGTCACATGGGGGCAGGGCCATGCGGGTAATGTCACTGAGTGGCCCCGCCCCTTACATATTTAAGAACTGTCAAGCCAGCGGAGCAGTCAGATGGCCCGGAAGCCAAGGTCTGGAGTGGAGCCTTCTTTTTTTTTTTTTTTTTTGAGTTTGCGGCAGGCATCATGATTGACATTGGATCTACTTCGGGGGACATTCTTTTATTTTCCTTCTTTTAATAAAGGACTTGTCAAAGCCTGTCTTTTATCACACTACAGTTTTTTTGTTGTGAATTGGTAGTGGTACCATGTACCACATACTCATTTACATGGGGGGCTGGGATCTGAGGGCCCCCTTGCTAGAAGGGGGCTTCCAGATTATAAGCCCCCCACCCACAGACCCCCAAAACCACAGCCCAGGGTTGTGGGTAAGAGGCCCTTGTCCCCATCATATGGGGACAAGGTGCTTTGGGGGGGAGCCCCCTGCCCCAAAGCACCCCCCTCATGTTAAAAGCATGTGGCTTGGTATGGTTCAGGAGGGGGAGGCGCTCGCTCATCCCCCCCTTTCCTAACCTGCTAGGCTGCATGCTTGGATAGGGGTCTGGTATGGATTTTCAGGGGACCCCACGCCATTTTTTTGGTTTTGGCGTGGGGGTTCCCCTCAAAATTCCATACCAGACCCAAACGGCTTGGTATGGATGGAGGGGGGGACCCCACGCTGTTTTTTTTTATTATTTTTTAATTGCTGGCAATTCTTTCTTTTATTTATCTGTCAGTGGGGAACCCCACTGACAGCTGAAACAGCCAGACCTTCCCACATGTGCGGTTCATTTTTGGAGTGGTTTTACGTTTTTGGAACGTTTTTGAGGAGGTTACCATTCATTTCAATGGGAAAAGGCGTTTTTGAGGCATTTTTTTTAACTCCCCAAACATGCCTCAAAGATGCTGCAAGCAGGAGTTTTTACACCACACTGCAAGTGCAACACCTCAGTGTGAAAACATACATAGATGTACATTCACATACACAGGGAAGCAGTTTTCTTGAGCTTTTCAGGCATTTTTTTTAACCCAAAAAAGCCTCAAAAACTCCTTAGTGTGAAAGCAGCCTTAAGATACACATGCCATTCATTGCTATGATGATGGCGGCCGGCTCATCTGCAACATGGCAATGCATGACTGATTCAGGGCAAGTTGCTGCACTGCTGGATCCAAAGGGTAGAATTCTGATCTAAAGCGGGATGGGGTACTGTGTGACTGGGGAGGGCTTTGTGACTTGGGGCTTTGTGATGGGAAGACTGTGTGATTGGGGGCTCTCATATAATGGGGATAGAGGGATTCTGAGTGAGAGGATTCTGATAGAGGAGGCTTTGATGTGATGGGGGGGCCTCTGGCATGAAGGCGTGACTCTGACGTGAAGGGGGGACTTTGATTTGATGGGGGAACCTATAATGTGGTGGGAGAATCTGTGTCCTAGGCTCAGGTTTATCATTGATAAGTGGCATCTATGGTTTTTGTACATTTTTAGACTGAGGTGCCTCAAGATTTTGCAAATTTTTAAAAGATGCTGCATGTGGAAAGGTGCAGGGTGGTGCGGCGGCAGTGGAGACACAGAGTTCGGCTGCAATAAAACATGGATTTTATGTATTTAAGAGAATGACAAATGACAAACACCCTAGGTAGGAGAGCATCAGTGGGAAAACACTCACAGTTCAGTTCAAATACAGAGATACAGTTGGGGGAGATGTGCTGACAGTGTCTGTTCAGAGTGCAGAGTGCTGCTTAGCCAGTCCAGTTCCAAAAGAGGTGGGGGCTTCCTAGCAGGATGGTGAGTCCCTAACATGTCCCTTCTCATCTGAACCTTTCTCTGTCGCTAATCGATTTCCCTGACAGGCGGCGTCTCAGTCCCTATTCTAGCCACTTTGCAAAAGCCAAAACCTGGGAGCAGGGACTTTAAAAAGGCTCTGCTGACCCAAGATGGCCACCTAGGGCCACCTGAATGCAGCGCAGCCAGACGGAACGCTGTATCCAAGACCCAGGAAACCATAACAAAACCTTGTTTCCCTTGAATGCCTCTCCAGCTGTGGTACCACTCCAGCTGAGCTCTGCCTACAGTGGAGAAAACAGACTGCACCTGCCTACATGCAAGTGAAAAAAATGGTTGAATTTATGATGCTTTATTTTACTGGTATTTAGTGCTATTCCATTTTTCGCAACATATGCCTAAAACTGCACTTTATATCTGATTTACCCAGAATCCAGATGCGTGACTGCTTTATAGAACACCAATTCACAAAAAGAACATTGGGGAACTGGAGAAAGTACCGAGAAGGGCAACCAGACTGATAAGAGGCATGGGACGAGATCAGCTATGAGGAAAGGTTAGAGGAACTGAATTTATTCTATCTTGAGAAGAGGAGATTAAGGGGGGATATGATCAACATGTATAAATACATCAGTGGTTCATATAGTGAACTCTGTGTAGAGTTATTCACCCTGAGGTCATCACAGAGGACAAGGGGGCACTCTTTATGTCTGGAGGAGAAGAAATTTAATTTCCAAACATGGAAAGGTTTCTTCACAGTAAGAGCTGTGAAAATGTGGAATAGACTCCCTCAAGAGTTGGTTCTGGCCAGCTCAGTGGATTGCTTAAAAAAAAGGCCTGGATTTTTTCTTGGATACACTGAATATAACTGGTTACTAACATTTATAGGTAAAGTTGATCCAGGGAATGTCGGATTTCCTCTCGGAGGATCAGGAAGGAATTGTTTTCCTTGTAAGAGCAAATTGGATCATGCTTTGCTGGGTTTTTTGCCTTCCTCTGGATCAACTGTGTGTGTAGGATTATAACTTTTTTTTTTATGGTTGAACTGGATGGACTTTTGTCTTTTTTCAGCCAGACTAACCATGTAACTATGTAATCTTGCTCTTACAGATATTTGGTATTGTATTCAAAAAAGTATAACCAGACAGGTTATGGTGATTCTGTATGGTTAGGGTCTCTGATTGCTGCCCAAGCCCTTCTCCTTAACCACTTGGCAACCGCGCTATAGCCGAATGAGGGCTACAGTGCGGTTGTCCAGTTCTGGGAGAGCGTCATATGACGTCCTCCCAGAACGCACCCTCCCCAGCGGCATGCACCCTGTGATCTCCATGATCATGTGATGTGATAAAAGACCAATCACAGCGCCTGCATTCTTTCTTGGATACACAGAATATAACTGGTTACTATTTATAGGTAAAGTTGATCCAGGGAATATCCAATTTCCTCTCGGGGATCAGGAAGGAATTTTTTCCCCTGCTGGAGCAAA